TGGCTAGAATCTAAAGTGTATCACAGCTCAGGAAAAAAAAGCACCGAAATAAAGCACCGAAATGTGCGCTGCTTTTCGGTCTGGTTACTACCATTTATGACAGAACCGGTGCCATCATGGCACCGGATACCGGTACCCATCCCTAGTTGTAAATCAGCTGTGTGATCATTTGCAGAGGAAAGATTTATTTGAAGAATTTCAGTATTTAGATTAGATCATAGGACAGGAATAGTACCACTGGTTGTTACTAATGATCTAATGATCTACAGTGTATGACAATAAAGTCTTCTCTGTGCGTATCCTGCTAGACCTCAGAATTGAATTTATCTGACAGATTCTTGCAAAAAAAGGTCATCTCACACAAAGTTAGTCATGGAGTTCAACCAGGAAGTGGAACACCATAGAGTTGGACCAGCACTTTTCACATTACATGCAATGCATCCCTTAGGCATTATTGTTATTAGAAAACACTGACGACATTTCCATTGCTGCGTAGATAATACCCTAATACACTGCAGGTATGTCTTAAAGATGTAAAGTCTTGAATACAGTGTAATTTTTCCTGTTAAATTGGGGTAAAACTGAGGTTATTGTACTTGGCCCTAAAAGTACAAGACAAAGTTGTGTTTGACTAGATGCTTCGTCTGGAAGGCATTACCTTAGGCTCGAGTAATCCTGTGAGGAATCTTGGAGTCATTTTTGACCTGGACTCAGTTGAACAAATGTCTAGGAATGCCTTCTTTCATCATATTTTTTCTGCAACAAATCAAGATTAGAAATATCCTGTTCATGCTTTTGTTACTTCTAGGCTGAACTAACATAATTCCTTATTAACTGATTCCAAAAATTCCCTAAGAAGTCTTCAGTGGATCCAAAACAGAGCAGTTTTTACTAACTGGTAGGGGGGGGGGAAAAGATCATATGCAAATTACCATCCTATTATCATTAATCTAAAAGAGCACTTCTCTCCCAGACTGCAGGCTTATTTGTGGTTCCTAGAGTTTCTCAAAGGTGAACCTGTACCATTATTTAGTTAAGCTGCTATAGGCTGAGGCTGCTGGGGGAAGTTAACGTGATGCACTAAACATTTCTTCTCCGCTTCCCTCTTTTTTCTTTTCCTTCACTGCTATTTTCTTCAATGCCATGTGCCAATAGAGTGCAGAGCAGATACTTGAACTCTACTCCCACAGAGATTGTTTTGTCAATAGTATTACATCTATTATATCACGACATTGGTTGTCTGATCCCTTTGTCTACTCTTTCCACACTAACGGTAATTGTGGAGTTCCACAGGGTTTTGTGCTAGGACGAAATTTGTTTACAACATACATGCTTCCCGTATAATCAGACGGTATAGCATCCATCCATAAACTGCAGAGATGTCATAACAACTGAAAGACCTGCATAACCTCTAATTTTCCAATTAAACTAAGATAAAACTGAGGTTGTTGTACTCAGACATAAAAATCTTAGGAAAATGGTATTTGGAACGTGTGCCAAAAGCCAAAACAACACCAGAAAACACTGCTGGCTAGTAGATATAATATCACTTTTGGTGTGCAAACATGACAATGGCAAGTATAAACTGCAATTGATGTTTCAATTATTGAATGTTATCAAGCTTTGTCTAATCTCTGAAGTTTAATTGTTGTCTCTCTGTGGTCCTCTCTTAACACTTCTCTTTCCCCTCATCCCCAAGTTGCAAGACACTATTGCTAGTTGGTGTTGCCAGGATAAAGTTTCTTCTCTCTCAAAAAACATAGCAACATGGGTTAGGATTGCAAATCAGTTAAAACAGCTCTTACCTCATTCTCATAGTGGTGAAAGGATGTTGAATTGAACTTGTTTTGCAGCACGTCTGTTGTAGATCTGTAAGTGTGTGATTGGGATCATTGTCCTATTGCATGACCCAATGTCGGCCAAGCTTTTTTTGTCGGACAAGAGGCCTAGCATTTCACTGTAAAATGCTTTGGTATACAGAAGCGTTCATAGTCGAGTAACAATGTGTTGCAATGGCTCAGTCATAGTCCAGACCTCAATCTGACTGGGATGATGTGGTGGGGCCTTA